ATCACGCATCACGTCGTGAACTTTAGGTCCCCCTTCACTGAGTTGTTCATGAAGAAGTCGCTTGGCAGTGGCGTTCGAGACAATGAACCCAGTCTTCTGAGCTGAAACCTTGAGATTGTCTTTCTCAAGCTCCTTTTTCACAAACTCATAGGCTTGTATTGCTACCCGAGCCGCATTGTGAGGATTGCGGTCAACAACATCAAAACTGAAATCGTCGATCCATAGATCAGAGCGCAGCTGCGGGTACTTCTTGTGGAATTCTCTGAGGGCTCTTTGAAGGTACACCTTTGCAGCTAGAGGCGCTTGAGGATCTCCAGCCAAAATGCCATGCGTTGCCCACAATGGTTGTGAGGCTTCACCTTCAGCTTCAAGGATTCTCTGCCCGCTGTATACTTGTACCGCTAGCGCTGCATGAGCTGCAGGGTAACTGGAATCCAACCATCGTTCTGTCAGCTTGACCAAATCAATTCTGTCATAGAAGTTGGACATGTCAAGGAGAACAGAAATGACAGTTCGGTTGTGTGCTGCGTGGTGTTCCGTCATAAAGGATCTTTTGAGGGCTACTTGCAAACACTCTGTTCCAGGAACTGCACGCTCCCACGGGTATTCCTGTTGAATATTGCTGGACCATCGCTTGGTTTGGTCACTGCGGACCCGGCACCATAGGCGGTAGAGAGTGGCTACCAGTGCTATTGGCCTCTCAATGATGGCTGACTTTGGCAATAAAGCTATCAATGATGTCTTCCATTGATTTGGGATCATGGCCTGCTCTTTGATGGTTTGAAAAAGGTCTCGCAGGTCCTTCATGGCTGCGTATGGCAAGGCCTTCAGGAAATCAAAGCCAATCCCGTCCAATCCAGCCGCCTTCAAACTGAGTGACTTGATGGTGCGCCAAACGTGGCCTTCACTGAGGTATGGCAATGTTTTTGCACTTTCCAGGCATCCAATCAAGACTGGTGCTTCCTGGATCTGCCAGATGCTGCCCCATTGCTCGACTCTCTTAGGCATGCGCTGGAGCCGCGGTAGATGCTGGAAAGGCCTCATGTAAGGAAGTTCATCACGCTTCAAAGTCCGGAAAAGCCCTCTGCAACCTGTCTGAGTTGCTTGTGCCAGCCACTGTCTATATTCTTCAGTTTCAAGCTGTGAACTAGAGGCCTGATGCAGCTCTCTCTGAGTCTTAACTTCATTGAGCAGCACATAGATGTGATCTGAACTGTGGCTGTGCCAAAGCATCTCGAAAAGGTTTTTGAATCCTTCACTCTTGGTCTTGGAGTCCGGGTGCCAATGTGCCTCAATATGCCATCCCAGTTTTTGGAGTTGGCTTTGATGTCGCGGTTCTCGATTCTGCAAGTGAACAAGCTGTTGGAGGCGAACTTCAATCTGCCCCCAAAAGGCTAGGCTGCCCCTCTTCCATAGCCAGGGTTTGCTGGCATCACGCAACGGTCTTTGGACAAACTGCAAAGTCACTCCCCTCCCTAAGGTTGGCGCGTCAAGCTGTTGCAGCACATACCGCTCTATGCGGCTGCATAGGTCTGAGTGAGAGGATCTGTCTGTCTGTTGAGCCATTGCACCTGGGTGTCTTGCTCATCAGTTTGATGCCACTCATAGCTTGGGTTTTTGAGCTGAGGAGCAGGTCCGAACTTGCTGAGCTGTCTGACCGTTAGGTCCTGGAAATGCCCTGCTATCTTGAACTGCAACATAGCGTGCGGCTTGAAGGGAACTATCCAATTTGACTGCACCGCTACATCTGCTGCCAAGGATGTTGATATCAGGGCCCAATCAATCTCACTGCCTGTGTTGCAGGTGGCTTCTCCCGTTGCTAGAACCTGCACCTGCATGACTTGAGCCATGGTGGTCGTCATGAAAGCTCCCGGGTCTAAATTGAAATCTCCAGCAACAATCACCGGCTTGTGCACACTAGTGACAAAGGAAATCAATCCTGCCCACAGCTGTGAGTTCGTCGGTCCTTGAACACCTTCTCCACACTTGAAATAGGAAAAAACCAGAATGATTTCACAGTTTTCAAAGGACCAGACCACTGCATACCAGCCACAACCTTCTATGATCTGCTTTTGAACAAAGTGAAAATGGAGGTTGTGTGGGAAGATGATCATCATCCCCCCGTTGGTACCTCCTTTCGTGCTCTCTGCAGCCGGTTCCCCAAGGGCGCTGAGCGCCCGGGTTGTTAGCCACTGCATGGTTTTCTCATGGTCTTGCTTGCCCAAATGTGTCTCAACAATGCATATGGGCTGCCGCGGTCTCGTGAGCAGCCATTGTCTCACGCCTTGTCCCAGCTGTGTCACGTTGGCAAAATCAAATTTCACGCACTCCTGACGTTGTCTCTTTGCCGGTGCCTCTCCTATAGGATGCTCAGGCTCCATATTGACATCACAAGGTATGTCAGTCGGCAGCAAACACTCTGAAGGTAGGGCCCAGACTTGGACAATCTGTTGCTGTGTTTGCTTGAGAACTTGTGGCATCACTCGAGGATAGGCTCCATCATCGACAATCCAGCTGAGACCTCTGTACAGGAAAACAGCATAGTAATGTCCACTGTTGTTTGAACTACCAGCATGGCACAAATAGCCTATGACCGAGAACTGTTTGGTGCATGTGGCATCTCCATCCAGCGTGATAGGCAGGTTGAAGATGGATGGAACGTTCAATGCCCTGTGATGTTTGGTCCACTCACCATGGACCTTGGCATAGCGTCCAACCTGAGCCACCCATAAGCCCTGCCCATCAAAAACTTGACCTTCTTGGTAATTTGCCCATTCTGAGATCAAATGTTCCAGCTCCGCAGGTCCCTCCTTTTCAGGAAAGATCAAGTGAACCGGAAAGGCCTGTCGGTGATGTACTTGTTGTGCGAAATCAACCGAATGATAGCTCTTGATGACTTGCTCTGCTTGAGCCAGTTCAACCATCTCCTGCAGAAAATATGATGCATCATCTTGCGTGTTGTCATCAAACTTGTTCGACAGAGATTCTAGGCCAGGAAGAGCAGGTAAATGGACAGTGTCATCCGAGTTCAATGCCCCTTGAGCTGCTGGTGTTGTAAGCTGCCATAGCTTTTCTCCACCCATGAAGCTGCCCGCCCATGCCCATAAGCGAAAAGCTGAATTTGCATGGCACCGATTTCTAGGGTTTCCCAATCGGCGCTGCAGGTTCTGTGCCACGTAATCCAAGGAACTCATCGGACCTTGGAGTCCTGCAGCTGAGCCAAAATTGGCTTCCATCGAATCTTCTTGTGAGCTGTGCATTGTATCATCACCAGCTCCCCCACAAAAGCCAGGATAGGTGCTCCCATCCCTTGTTTGGGTCAAGTCCGAAGGACCTGGCCCCCCCTTCTCAGGGTCGGCAACCATAGCTGCCTGGCCTGAGCCAAAACCTGCACAACCAATGTCAATGCCATGGCATTGCCCCATGCCAAAACCGAAGAACCTGGTTGTGGATTCCCCTCTCTCTTGCTTGCTATAGCATGGATTGTTACCCACACTTCCTCCTTTTTGACGCGCTCTCTGCAAGCTTTGATGCCAGATCTTGAACCTGGGCGCTGGTCGCCTGCAGGCCTACACTAGCCATTGCTGTGTTGAGCGCCTCTGGGGAGAGGTCTTCAGCCATTTCAGCATCGTTCTGTTTCTCTTGCTCCAGTTGTTGATTGTATTGAGTTGCGGTCGTCTGCAGCTCTTTCTGTGCGACTTCAATCTTTCCTTGGAGCTCCTTGAGATCTTGCAATAACTGCGTGTACTGGGCCTTCACTGCATCTGCTTTTTGCTGCAAGGCTGCCTTCTTCTCTGACAACTGCTTGAGCGAGCCCACTGCTTGCTTGACCTTGGACGCAAGGGTAGGTTCAGGCTTGTCAGGTGTGACTATCTTCTCCACAGCCTCTTTCAAGTCTGCTGGCAGACTAGGCAAGTGCTCTCGTATGAGCGTTGGCAAATCCTGTGTCACTGGTGGCTCTGGTGCTTGCCACCCCATGGCCATGCATTGATTGCGGAAAGCTTCTGGCAATTGGTTCCAGTGCTCCTTCATGGCCTTTTGCATGCCTAGGTCCTTGCCTTTTTTTGCTTTCCTCTTTCCACCCCCTTGGAGCCCTGGAGGTGGATCAAGTAGAGCTTCCTTGAAGGTTTTCTTGGGCCAGTTGGCACCTGCTTTGGAGAAGTTCCATGCCGCCCATGTGACCGTCTGAGATCAGGTAGAAGATCCTGCTGCCATGCATTTCCACACTGATTGCATGTCAGCTGAGGCTTGCTCACCAGGCGGTCCTCCCATATCCAGCTTGCGCGGCAATGCTGGCATACTCGATAGCTTCGCCTCATGGATCGCTTCGTGCTCCTCGTTCTGGCCGAACTGAAACTCAGTGAAGAGGTGTCCGTGCCCTCCTTCTTTGCCTCTGTATCCGTTGGATACAGGGCTTGATGCTGAAATGGCTTGAGCCACATATGCAACATATAGATACTTACTCTATATATATATACTGTAATGATACTGGGGACCAATGACTTAGGACTTGTTGGGTCCAATGACATAGGTAGTTGCCAGGTCGGTTTACCCAAGTCATGGAGCAGAGAGCAGAAAACATTGGACATCTACCTGAGTGAAATGAAAAGCGATATGACTTAAGAGTTGCGCGCAAAAGATGATATCAGCATATGTTTGTCCTTGATTCTACCATTCCAGGAATCCTCAAAAGGGTGAGGGTGTCGTAAGTTTCCTGATCTTGCTAGTTTGCTTCATGACTTGGGACACGGCTTTTGGCACATGTTACTCTTCCCTCATGACATGGGAGTTGTGTTTTTGACTATACTTCCGACAAATCCCATGTCAGTGGTGGCAAGTATATCTATAATAAATATATAGAGAGAGGGAGAGAAAGAGAGAGAGAGAGAGATAGGCTAGTAGCCTTGGTCACTGCGGTCTTAAAGCTTAAAATGTATGTGAACATGTGAATTCTCATCATGAACCCCGTTCTCTGTAGCCCTTGGCATTCAGGGCCAGGCCATGCAAAAACACGTGAGGAACGGTGGCCTTGGTAGTCTCAAAGGACAAGCGTCCATGGTCGTGTCATCATGTCCAAAAGACTGCACACAACAACAGGAGTACCTTCATTGATCCTCCCAATGTAGTTATTGCCTTTGCACAATGTCAGTCAATTTTGTTTCCATCCGACACCTTCGCCAAACATGACTCACTCAGCTCTCTCTCTCTCTCTCCAAGTACCCTTGCACAGCGCCAATAAACTCCAGCAAGGTGGTTGTCTTTCGTTTCAAACCTCAAGGCGCATTCTGCAGCCCCCCGCAAAGTGGCGAGCAATTGAGCAGCACTAGAGTCAATGAAACACAAGAGCTGCAAGGGTACAATTGACCTATATAACTAAGGAAGAAGCTCATTTTGCGCCGTAACCCATAAACAGGAAAAAGAAGCCCCAGTAGAAAGCCGGCTTGTTTGCATGGGTTCCAAAGGCCGCTGATATACTACGCAAACGCAGACGGCTGATGACAACTAGAGACAGCCAGAGCTGGAGACAACCGAAAACACCGCAGAGGCGACCCAAACAACCCAGCGCATGCGAAGACAGCCGGAGACAAACGGAAACAGCCAGACACACCATAGTAGAGGCGACCCTAGCAATCCAGCACAGCCGAAGACGGCCAGAGACATCCAGAGACATCGCAAAAGAGGCTACCCAAGCAATCCAGCACTCAGCACAACCGGCAACAAGTGGAGAAGCCTCTGCAACCAGCAAAAGCACCCTTTCAAAGGAGTAAGAACCCCTCACAGGTAAACCTGTTTGGGGAAGTGTCAGATTTTTGGCAAGGCCAAGTGAGTGTTGAAAGTTGAGATGTTGAAGCGGGATGCAAAACAAAATCCCCAGCTTAAATCTTGGAAACTCAACTAAAACCCAGCAAAGTCGAACAACCTTCAGCTTAGCCTGAGTCCTTTTTCTCCACAAATGGGCATCGTCAACACCAGCTGTTTGCTGCCAGGGCAGCACGGGTGCCACCTCACCTACTCGGCCACCTTTGGATCGGCCACCTTTGTTGGTTCCTCTGCTGCTTCCTCTGCCCGAGCTTCCTCTGCTGGTTGCTCTGGCTCTTTCAACTCTGTTTCCTCTTGCGCCTCGGCAGATTCATCAGGTGAGTCAACATCCGCGTTCCCTGGTGAATCGAGATCCACAGCTGAACGCGGAATGAAAACAGGAGCCTGTGCATTGAAGCTACTAGCACCTTCACGAGCTGCATTTTCAAGCATTGCACGGACCCCTTCCTGGCTCGGCAATTCTGCCTTTTTGCCCGTCTTCGGTGCAGGTGTGGCACCTAAACCTGGTGGCGGACTGGCCACAGAGGAGAAAAGTGTGTTGCCACACGGTTGCTCGAGCGGTGGGAGCGAAGCGGCCTGATGCTCCAATTGAGTGAGCCGCTCTGTCAGGGCATCCAAGGCACGCTGTTTTGCTGCCCCTGCCCGCAACATGCGGTCCACCTTATCAATCTGTGCATCCACCTGCTCTGCCTTCGGCACTGGTTGTGCATCAAGCTTTCGTCTAGCCTCGTCAAGGGCATCCCGATGATGTCGCATGAGGTCGGAATTGTGGTTGTGAGCCAAGATTGTTCGGTGCAAGTCCTGCTTCAGAGCTTTCACCTCGGAACCCCATTTCTGTTCCAATTCTTTGATTTTTTGACTCAGAAAAACACGGTCAACGGTAGAGTCTGGAGGAGAGCCGGCCACACCGGCCGCGCCATTCAATCGCACGCAGCGGTCTAAGCGCTGTGACAACTCCGTGATGTGTGCCTCCATCTGTTGCATTTGAGTGCGAGCAACATTCAGTTCGTGCCGCACACGTTGTTCGGAGTCCTTCTTGGCCTGAAGAATCATCTGCTCAACCTGCTGGCCAATGGCTGACGCCACATCACCGTGGAGCGACGCCATGGCCCGGGTCCGCCCCTTGCCGAGCCTTCTTGGCTTTGAGCCAACCTGCAAGCCACGGAGCTAAGAATAAAGAGCGCTCACAACAAGACTGGTGTTTGCATTCTGGGCAGTCTGGGCCCTGAGTGCACTCTGGGCACTACGCCAGCCACATCCAACCAAGCTAGTGCCAAATTTGTAGCCCTTGGTTGGAGCAACTCAAGTCAAAAGATGATTCTCTTCACCGCACATATTAGCCACAGCTAAGGGCATGGCTGGAAGACCGTCACCAGAGCAAACATGATTGAAGGCCTTCAAGGAATAGATCTGTTGTGTTTATGTAAGAGCATAGTCCCAGTCTACGTTCTTCCTTGTCTTCCTCTGCCACTCAGTACTTTGCCAGTTCAATTTGTTGAACACACCCAAGCAAACATGTTTTGTTGAGAAAGCGGACATATGACATGGACACTTCTGAGCACTTGCGACGATCTTCTCAAAGTTGTGTAGACATATATATCCCGCCGGAGCCACAAATGCAGAAAGTTGTAGCCTCGAAGTCTGCCAGACAGTGAGCGCTTTGGCGCTCGCCCGCTTCAAACAGTGAGAGCTTCTGCCCACTGTGCAAAGAGCTTTTGTGTATGCTCATTCGCATCTTTACAGGATTTCCGAACCCACCACTGGCACACATAGCGCCACAACAAGCCATGGACTTGCCCTTCTGTGCTTCGTGCAGTGATCGGCTTCGGCACCCATCCCTTGAAATACACATATGCGCACTAGACGACACGAAAGCAAAGATCTTGCCCACCTCCCGCACCCCCCTTGAGATACACATGTGTGCGCAGGACGACACGCATGCAAGCATCTTGCCTATCCCCCCGAACCCCATTGAGATACACATCAAGATGCGCAGCGTGCCCTCGGAAAAATTGGACAGTTCTGAAATCGAAATGCCACTGGGTTCTATGTAAAGAACAAAATCTTGTGCGAAAACAGTGCGCTGTTGTCGCGCAAAAAAATCCAACAAGGCAACATTGCATAAACATGTAAAATACATTTAAAAAGTAATAATAAGAATAGGAATAGTTTTAAAAAAAAATAATCAACACGGTGAATTGTGTACTACTGTCTTAAGTAAACCCGTCTGGATGTATATATATATATAACTATATATATACACAGTATAAGCATGTGTAACAAAAAAGACTGGCGCCCAGGCGAGCGATATTCCAAGACAGTCAAGCCTCGTTGAGAGTCACTCGTGACTCATAAACGCACAGCACACACAAAAAATCGAACATGTTAACAATTATGTGTTTATGTAATTTGTTTTTAATCTATTTCCCCAACATCTTCCTCACATAAGGAGAAATAAACTGAGGTGTGGGCCAATCATGTAGTAAGACATTGTCATGCAAATGTGGTTCACTCCAAAGGACATGCAAACCTAGGTGTGAATTATTCACAATCCTTTGATATGCGATGTCTCAGTGATTGCATCTCATGCGATAGTTCCTCAAATACAACCAATCCATTGATCTGAGTCTCCTGCACGTGCATACGCATCATAGCATTGCCACTTGGCCTGCAACCTTGACTCTGTTGGCTAAGTTTTCTCTGAGACTAACCATTGAAGAACAATGAGTCTTTGCTGCACAGGGTCAAAAATGTGACCTTTTTGTTCTTTCATTGGTTCTACTGTATCCTGCGTCCCGTGTTTGTTCTTTCGTTACCTGTTGGTCCTTTGTCTCTTTGTCTTTCTCTTCTTTCTCATATGTTCTTTCCTTTTTCCTTAGAGTCTTAGACCTTTAGACTCTAGATTTGTGTCCACCAAAGGTGGCATTATTCTAGAAACTTAGAAGTTTGAAAGAAGAAGCGCAAAAAAAACAAAGTGCAAACCCAAAAAGCACAAGCAAAACCAAGTGCAAGACCAAGTGCAAGAAAAGAGCGACCACGAAAGCAAAAAACACATTTAAAACATGGGAACAATTCGTACAACAGCATGGAACTACTACGAAGTAACTACCACTAACCTACCACCACTACTACTCCTGCTGCTGCTACGTACTACTACTTACTACCCGCACCACTGGTCACTAGCAAGGGCCTCTACAGACTAACTGCAGATTCGGAATTCGACGCATTCAAACATTTTGCGAGGGGGCCGGGTAGGGTTAGCACTGGGTTAGGAAGAAGGGCAAAGGTTCAAGGGCCTCCCGAAAGCCCAGCAGACTGGTTTTCTGGTGCCGGGTCAAGCGTCTCACTTTTGGTCGCTTTCTTTCTGGCGCCGAGTTTCTGGCGCACTTTTGGGCGTTCTTTTTCTGATGCCGAGTTTCTGGCTCACTCTTGGTCGCTTCTCTTTCTTGTGCCGAGTTTCTGGCATACTTTTGGTCGTTTCTTTTTCTGGTGTCGAGTTTCTGGCGCACTTTTGGTCGTTATTTTTTGCTCTTTCTTTGCTCTTTTTTGTTTGGAGGTTTCTTCCAGTCAAAACCTGTTTGGAGGAAATCTCCACGCAAACAAGTTGTGACCAGTTGATTGCGCAATTCTGGCCCCGTCAACGGAGCCTGGCCTTGGACTCCTTGGACCCTACAGCGCAGCGTGCGCAACCAGCTGTTTCTCCAAGGCATCAGCGTCGACATGCTCCCACCCTTCTTGAGTGAAGAGGTCAAATGGCAACGGGGTCAAAGGATGAAGACGTGCTACAGATCACGACAACAGCGCTGGTATCAACTTTTTGCCCTTCGCCTCCATACCATGGTGGTGTCATCACCTGGATCGAGATTCCACCAGGCTGGATTTTCCATCCAGACCCTCCGCTTTGTCAAAGTATAAGCTAGCGTTGCTTTGGCTGCTTCGGTAGGAACCCAGCGTAAGCTGCGACGTGTCTGGCGCAGCGCCGCCACGTCTATTTCCACCCTCTTTTCAGAGAAGGCGGCGGCCCAGCGGTGGATCGCGTCATAGAGCAGTTGGCGTAGCCCTCGCTCTTGCCCAAGCTTGCCGCCTCTGCGCCAGCGTCAACCTCAGCGCTGTCTGGCGCCTGTCGCTTCTCCCGTCCAGTAAGCTAGCGTCAGCTTCCTGCGACAAAGCCTCCTCGGCGTTAGCAAGCACCATGTAGGCGCCCTGGCTCTTGCCACCAGGTGCGTTTCGCAAGGCGGAATCGCCGAAGTTTGATCAGGACCATCGTGTTCAAGGGGATCGGCTTGATCTGTTCGCAGTGGCTTACTTCGACACCGAGTTGGCTTCAGCGAGATGAGCCTTCTCTACGAGCGAGGTGTCCGCTGCAAAGTCAGGTCGAGTAGTGGTTCCTGACATCCACTGTAGTGAGCCGGTAGCGGAGCAGAACTCCGATCTTTGCCCATCTTTGCCTCATGGTCTTGCTTGACCTTGGCGATGATCAGGTCAGCGGCGTAGTGGCTTTGGCCCAAGGTGATGTTGCCATTGGCGCGCTTGGCAATGCGCCAGCCAACAAAAACAAACTCATTCACTTCTCAGGGACTACCCCAGAAAAGACTTCTCCACGTGAGGGAGAACGCCCTCTTGCAGTGAGCTGGCCAGGATGTCGTCCACATGGATGCCCGAAACAGCAATGACCTCTCCGTTGATCTTGTTCACGAGACGCAGGGCTCAAGGGAGTGTTGCACCCACCGGAGCTTGTTGACCGTGACATCTAGAACACGCAAAAACCAAACGCATCTGCTTCTTGAGCCCACTCACACAGCCTCTCAAGACACTCCACGTTGAGGCACTCGCATATATAGGTCTTCTTGGGCCTCTCAATGGTCCGGCTTCCCTTGGAGGAAGGCGGATTTGCAGCCACCGTTGACGATGTCCGAACACGCCCATTGAAGGATGCACATGAGCCCAACGCGGGACAAAACAGGAGCGCCGCGAAAGGAGAGGAAGGTGAGGATGACGAAATCTCTGTATCACGATGCAAGTTTTCGGTTTGAACGAGGCTCCTCCATCTATTGCCTTCCGAAAACATACCCGCGCGGGTAATATGAGGCGCTTCGCGACGTTCTTGGGGTCGCCATTGAATTTCTCGCGCGAAGCCCACGTATCCATTCATTCACTCCACTCCTTCTTCATAGAGTCCACGAAGGAGTCCCAGTCAGCAGCGCTGATCGACCGCCGTGGAAGCTTCATCATCACCCTCCGCGCCGAAGTCCTCGTACAGGTCGTCGAAGAACATCGTCGGCTGGAAGGCGCAGCGGCGCTGAACCTGCTGCCGCGCTACCGATGCGATTATGGCCCGTCAACGGCGCCTGGCCCTGGACCCTACAGAGCAGCGTGCACAACCACCTGGCGTCGACGTGCGCCCACCCTTCTTGAGTGAAGAGGTCACATGGCAACGGGGTCAAAGGATGAAGACGTGTTGCAAATCATGACAACAGCAGATTGATTGGAGGAAATCTCCCAACAAAGCGGGACCAAGCAAAGAAAGAGCGAAAAAAGAATAGCGACCAAAAGTGTGCCAGAAACCCGGCACCAGAAAAAATGCGAAAGAAAGCGACCAAAAGTGCTCCAGAGAGCGCCAGAAAGCCCGGCTGAGCGCAGAAACCTCAGGGACCATGTAGATGTCAGCCACCCCATGCAGTTAGTCACCCAGTCGCTCACAGCTACAGCAGCAGTAGCAGTAGCAGTAAATTTGTCTGGGAGGACATCCTTCGTGGAACAGGTGCCAGGTGCCAAGGAAGTACAGGACGGGAAGTACAGGGCGCGACATCCATTGCTTTAATCCTTAGAGTCAAATCAGCTCCGTGCCCCGTGCTGTCTCACAGCGGCGCGCGGTTTGTTGCAAAGGTGTATTTTCTTTCTTATTACAAACACGCTGCGTTGTTCCATTGTTGCTTTAAAGTTTGTTTGATATTTTTTGCTTTTATGATTGTTCTTGTCGTTCTGGCTGCATTACGCGATTGTTTTTTGCATGCTTTTTGTTGTTTTTCAAGACAACTAACTTCTAGAATAAAGGAGTTTGGGAAACACAACTCTAGACCTTTCTTGTCCCCTCTTTTCTGCGTCTGCTTCTAGCTTTCTTTTATATATGTGAATTCCCCCAGGCCCATCATCGCCACCCAAGCTCGTGGCTCCCGAAAGAGCTTGATGTGCTTTCCCGGAAGGTTCACAGCGGCCTACAGACTGGCTGGGTGATCTGGATGGGGAGTTGGGAAACAAAAAACAAGAAGTCGCGGCTCGTCCCTAAACAATCCACAGTGAACCGCTCCGCAAAAACCCTGTCATATGTTCAACACAGTTCGCAAGCCCGCAATCCTGCGTGTAGTTTCGCGTTGAAAGGATTTGAAGGCGTGGTGGATGGAGGAGCTCCAGGCTCGTCACCCTTCCCCCTTTCACCGCACCATGCCTTCTGCAAGCCACCTTCATCATCTGCATACCCCGCCACACCCGACTCCAATAGATCCTTCGCAGGACATCAAGCCGCCTCTGAGCTTAGGAATAGAAATATGTTGAAATCTTGGCTATCGGAGTTCAAGACTGGAAGAAGCGCGATTCTTGGAGCGCGTCTTCTTCAGCCATATCATATCACGTTGTTCCGTTGTCTCCCTGGCCACAACCAGCGTCGCTCTACGGGGTGTAAGGCCTACATCAAAGCTACGCTGATTAACTCGAATTGAATTGCTCAGACTCATCATTGCTTGTGGCCGGTCTTCTCCGCCTTCTACATAAATTTTTCTTTTCGCGGAGTTCGGAACTCTCACTTCTGCTGGCGCAGTCACGACTTTTCCGCCCGTGTTGAGATTTGCTGGACCACTTCTACAGTAGAGCAAGTGGTAGCTCCTGGCAATACTACTAGGAACAAGAAGCTTCTAGGAGCAAAGGGCATCGCAACTAGTTGGGCGCCCTAAAAATCTAAGAACCAACTCATTGGCGCGAGCGTTTCTTCAAGGAAGCTCCCCTCGCCACCTTTAGGTCGGCGGGGGAGCTTCTGGAGGAAGTGCGAGCTATCCTTCGCCGAGCGCTCCCTTTTCTCGCGCCCAGATGGCTGTGGTGTGTATGTCACATGAAGTGCGTGATTTCTGCACCCCCTGCGCCACATAGCTCCATTCGACCGGCGTGGCAACTTCACAGGGGCAAAAGCAGGTATAGCGGAGTTTGGGATCCGGTTGACGTCAGACCCTTGCATCCCGCCCTTCCGCTCTTCTCGAAACCTAGCCGCTGCAGGTGTCGGCTGGACCTTCGTCACCAGGTCCGCATCATTGACCTTGCCGGCCACCTTGCCCACCCCCAGCTCTTTGTTGAACACCTTGTCCTGCAACGGGCTTGGGCATGTCTATTGGCGCCAACACCCTTCCTCTCACCCATCGCTTTGGCGGCGCTGCTGTCCACCGAAAGCTTCACCTTGCGAGCTTCATAGCCCCATCATGACTCCTCGCACAAACTCAGCATGAGTTGCAGCGCGGCGCATCTCATAGAACTCGCTCTCGCAGCTCGAGAGCGCCGCGGTCTTCTGCGACGTCCCCTTCACAAGGATTGCGCGGTCGCCTGCCTTGATGGCTGCTGTGGTGGATCTCTGGCTCCTGAGGTGTCCTGCCCAGTCCGAGTCAGAAAGTGCCACCGCATTGAACTTCTTGATGGGCTGCTCGCGGAAGATCCTCTTGAGGTGATCCTTGCAGCCGCTGCCAATCCACCATCTTGGGGTTCTTCATGGCCGACGCAAGCGACCTCACCACATGACACAGATCCGGCGTGTCCACACTCATGTAGGCCATCCTCATCACCATAGATTGGTAGAGGCTTGCTCTCTAGCACTGATTGCCGGTCTGCCTCCACCAAGTCGCGCTGGGTCATCTTGTCCTCCGGCACATCACATCCACGAAGCAAGATCTCGGCATGCCTGGCATCAGCTTCTTGCAATCTCCAAGCGCCTCCCATCATCGTCCGCTCCGGTCGTACTTGATGAAGCGGTGGAGGAAACACACCGACCTCTTGTCATCCAACCAACGAAGTTGAGCGTCTTCGCCCACCACGAGGAAATCATCTCCGTGGAACAGTCCAAGTAGCCCACGTTCCTCGAACCTGAAGATGGCTGGGCATAGTGGACAATATGTCCCTCCATTCTGCTTCAGCCACTCTTTCCGCAGATCGCCCGGCTGCACCATGTCCTGCTCCGGCAGTTCCATGAAAATGTCACGCGCAGCTCGCCCCATAAAAAGGGCACGGGATATTTCCCAGTTGGCGAGTTCTTGGGATCCTTCGACATGAAGGCACTCAGCAGCGTGTAGACGGCCTTAATGGGTGAAGTAGCTGAGAAGGTATCTGCGCCTCCCAGCAGCACGAATGTCCTTGACATCAATCCATTTCCACTGCAGGAGCTTTGCAGTGGCCTCCCGACGAGGGAATGTGTGACCCACTGTAGTTCAAGCTCCGGACCTTCTTGGCCAGCTCCGGCTCCAGCAGTCACCTGAGACATTGCCCATGTACTGCTCCTCCTCCCACTGCTTCAGCTCCACATCAATCTCCGCGTAGAGCTGCTCATTGAACTCACGCACACCATCCCATTGATCCAGGATGTCGGCGCTGCTTCCATAGTTGGAATCAATCTCTGCGGCCGCGATCTCATTGTCCATACTGGCTGCCCATTCCAAGACCTCTCTGCTCTTGCAACCAAAGACCCCAGACACGTAGTCCTCGAGCTTGATGGCCCACAAGCGGAACTTCTCATCCACACTGTCCCCAAGGACCTGGGGCTTTCCAAGTCCACGAGGGTCAATGAGGCCTTTCGGCTTCGAAAGCTTAGACAACGATCATCTCTCTGACTTCTGGAGACATCCCACCTCCATGCGCCAGCGACAATGCAGCCTGAGCCTCAAAGGTCGCAAGCCGCTCCCGAAGCACCTGGTTGTCCCGTTGGGTGGTCATCACTTGCTGCTGCAGCTGCTGAAGTGCACTGGCGAGGTCCTCCATCGTCGCCATCGTCCAACAGTGCTCCCAGCACCGCAAGCGGCGCTCCCGTCAACACCAGGAGTTCGAGCGCGACCGCCAATTATGCTAGCCAGCTGCAACCACCACACGACCGCTCCCGAACACCTAGGAGCTCAACCGGCCTCTTCAAGGCTGCTTGGCCTTTGTTCAAGGCCCTAGATGCACCGTGGCACGCTACCACGCAAATCTCGCTTATGCCGAGCGCTCCCTTTTCTCGCGCCCAGATGGTTGTGGTGTGTATGTCACATGAAGCATGAAGTGCGTGATTTCTACATCCATACTAGTTGCTAGCTACTACTAGCCACCTCCCTAGCTACTACCTACCTCTTACCTCTACCTCCTAGCGGCCTACCCCCCTTTAAAATAATATACAAATATATATATATATATATGTTAATTCGGGCCCTTCAACACCCACTTTACAACTTTCCGCCTGACTCTGCCTGAGCCATAAAAATCAGAAAGGAGGAAGTGGAGCCAAACACGTAACGATGACGGGATCTGCAGGAAGGGGTGCGTAGTTTGCGTTACCTTCAGTTGTGATTGGCCGCTGAAACGGACAACTTTTCTCCTACAAATACTCTCTCTCTCCTTTTCACTCTGACCCTCAGATCTCTCGGATGGACTAAAAGCACTTGCCAACACCCTCCTCATCAAATTCAAGGAGCTGTTGCAAACTCTGGTCATCAAACATAGCTTATGAATCTTCGGGGATTTGGTTGTCAACATTGAGACGAAAAGGATCGAAAAGGCGTCGTGCGGTGTCCTGCTGTTTCATCTCACCAGGCTTGACCACAGCTGTGAGATACTCTTCGTCACCCTGTATCACAAGCAGCTCATGAGGAAAAGGCCAGAACAACTCAACCGCGTTCTATATTGCATATCGTATCCAGGTGCCCCAGTTCTGCGCCTCAATCAACAGTGAAGCTTGAACACAAGCTGTAGACTCTCAATCAGTTCTTCAAAATGCTTTATCTATATAGTACTGGTTATTCTCCGACTCATTCAAATGTCTCAAGAGACCCAAGCCTCGCCCTGGCCCGTAGAAGAGCTGGGGTTCTTCCCTGCATCACGGCGGCCTGGGGACGCTCGAGGCCTTGAGATTACATTACAATTGAGAGCACACAACCAACGAGTTTTGTTTGGGTCTTTGGCGGGTTGCCCCAATGGAAAAGAACTATATACACGTTGGTGTCATGCCCAACACGGCACTGTCAGTCACTGTCATTCTCAGTTGCTCATGAGTTGCATTGGGTGTCACTGAGCATCCTGCGTTGTTGCCACTGTGGCACTCCCTGCATGAACGGAATCCGCATGATGTTTCCCCCTTGACCTTATTCGCAGCACGAAGATGCCTTGAGAAGGAAGAAACATCCATGTAAGCTACTGACTAAACAAACACCTGGCACTGAACAAGAACCCTGCTGGGAGCATGCTCAACCCCTTGTGTACGAACTTCGGGCCGAGACTTTCCAAAGAACAACAACTGTTCAACAATCTGCAGCGTCTGCATCTGTTTCAACCAGCTTAATTTAAGAAATATCTCAAAGGCGCCAGAGTCCGTGGCGTTCAAAGTCGGTGAGGCGCGCGTTCATAGCAGACATCCTTAAAGGGCCCGCAGGGTGGCAAAACCCATAGTTGATGTTTTGAGTGGGGAGCTGTAGTGTGATAAGAAAGATTAAGAAAGTATATACTGGTGAAGATAATAGATTATATAGACCCTGAAGTTCGGGGCCTAAGTCAGATTCCGCCAGCCGCCGGATACTTTAGGCGGCTGATTCCGCCAGCCGCCGGATACTTTAGGTGGCTGATTCCGCCAGCCGCCGGATACTTTGGTGGCTGATTCCGCCAGCCGCCGGTTACTTTGGTGGCTGGCTGGCTGATTCCGCCGGCTACTCTTTAGTTGGCTGGCTGGCTGATTCCGCCGGGTACTTTGGTGGCTGGCTGGCTGATTCCGCCGGCTACTTTGATAGGTTGCTGGCTGGCTGATTCCACCGCATACTTTGATAGCTGGCTGGCTGGCTGGCTGGCAGATTCCGCCGGCCACTTGGATAGGTGGCTGGCTGGCTGATTCTCCCGGATACTGTGATAGGTGGCTGGCTGATTCCGTCGGGATTTTGATAGGTGGCTGGCTGGCTGATTCCGCTGGATACTTTCATAGGTGGCTTCCGGCATCTCATTCGCGCGTTCAGTTGAGTCACTTTTCGCGTGTACAGACGAGGCGCCGGCCACAGTTCCCGTCTATTTTGAGTGAGAATGGTCCTTTACACAAGTCCCAGCTCCACGGGCCGTGGAGTTTCAGTGTACCGCAGTTAGAGGTTCAGAGGACCTCACCGCACTACCCAAATGCGTGTGACTGGTTCTGGCGCACGCCGCGCTAAAACCAGAAAGAGTGGCGGCGGTCCGGGAAAAGCGAGTTTGAATCTGATCTGGTCGAAATGCGTTCTTTCAAAAATAGCTGAAAGTTCACATATTCTCTACTTTTGGCACACACAGTTGGCTAATGAAGGAAACATGGACCAAACAAGTATTGGCGCCAAATGGTAAGAGGCGTCACAAGTAGTGTAGGCTGGTAATGGCTTCGGGTTTCGTCCAACAATACAAATTGATCCACTATAGTGGTCACATAACTAGTCACATTGCCATGCCACTGATGGCTAAACCCTTCAGATCCTAGAAGCTCATTTTGTCTGATGTCTGCCACGTGTCAAAAGAGCTCTGACGCGCGCTGTCCACGCAAACTGCACTGCAGCTTTCCGACATGCTGGCGCATCGCAAACATGCCTCTCTGAGGCCGGGAAAGCAAAGTCATGTTGTTGTTGTTGTTCCATGGGAACGAAGCTCTTGTGGGAGCGCAGCAACATTGGACAGAGCGTTGTTAGCAATTTCCACCTGAGCCGATGTTTTTGCGCGCGTAAAGGTTGATTGACTGATTGATTGGTTGGAACCATGCCTCCTTGATCAACCCTTCGGGCCAAAAAGTGAAGCCATGTACGCGTCCTGGGAAGGCTTCCTGCCAGCAAGGCAAACAACATAAACAACCTGAGAAGCGGCAAAACGAAAGCCAGCGTTTTTGCTTTCGAGCGTGCTTTCTCAGGCCACCCCCGCGAACCCCCCTTCTTACTCAGCTGGCGCAGGTATAGATACCCCAATTCAGTTACCAGGTATAGTACTTCAAGTTCCCTTTCCGTCAACCGCTCGATAACTTTTACACACGTACAGAAATCCACAGCTTTGAAGTCTCATTGAACTTTATAGGTGTGTAAGAGATATAACAACATAGCATTTATACGGACCCCTTTATGTGGCTGATTCCGCCAGCCGCCGGGTACTTTTGGTGGCTGGTTGGCTGATTCCGCCGGATATTTTGCTGGCTGGCTGGCTGATTCCACCGGATACTTTGATAGGTGGTTGGCTGGCTGATTCCGCCGGATACTTTTTAGCTAGCTGGCTGGCTGATTCCGCCGGATATTTTGATAGGTGGCTGGCTGGCTGATTCCGCCAAGTACCCGGAACGCAGGGTCAATAGATTATGAGGAAAGTTTTTCCCGCCACATGAGGCCCCGGCTGCTGACTCCCCGGAATCGGCAGCCGGACAAAACGCGTCAGGAAACGAACCTAAGCCGTCAGAAGCAGCTTTGGACAAACGCATCCAGGGTGAGTAAACAGTCTTTCAGAGCGTTTAAAGAAACACTAAAAATACAACCCTGCGGAATCTGGGATACCCCGCTCCAAAGCTGTGAGAAGAGATTGAGGCATACATGCTGAACCTCAGTGAGCATGCGGTCACGGGACCTGGTTCTACGTGACCCTAGCTTTGACTTTTTGCAAATCCATGAAAGAATGGGTTCAGGTTCAAGTATTTGCAAATTCATTCACTTGTTGCACTTAGCGATTGACGACACTTGGCAAGACATACCCAGCTTGCATATATGGGCAGCCGCACCAAACACAAAGCAGCACGTAGGTGAAGGTTCCAGCTGCCTCAGCAACCGTAGGTAGGCCTAAAACGGAACCCTCCCCCTGCGTCAGCATCCATGAACGAAAAGCAAGAAGCACCTGTTTTGGCCTAAACTACCACTCTCTGTACACCGGTGAGGGCTTGAGCCCATGCAACACAAATCAACACAAAAGGATGACAAACAAACATAACAAACCAAACGAGCTATGCTGGCCATGCCAATTCACAACTCATGCCTTAGACACTGGCCGAAAGCCAGTAGAGCCCAAGCAAAAAGGGCGGTGCAGAGGTCTTGGCGAAACCAAGGGCTGATGAAGCTTAGCAAGTGAAAACATCTTCCTAGCAAGTCTCTAGTCTTGAAGTTGAAGTAACTATTATAAGTTTTCCTTATGTATATATATATATATGTCACTGCACTCTCACGACGCCCTGCTCTTTTCAAAGGGGTTGCGCA